GGAAGGACCCTGTTCTAAAATGCCGATGCGGGGACACACTCCCCTGCGTGCCTGCTCTGCCCCGGCGGTGGGTCCCGCTCTCTCTCTGGGCTTGAACTGCAGGCCAGAAGGGGCCTGGCATGGGCAAACTTCCCAGCTCACTTCTGGCTCCTCCGGGAGACTTCTGCTGGTTTCAGGCAGTCTTTACTGAAGATATGTCCATGTTCTAAAATGGCATTGCGGGACGCACTCCCTGCGCGCCCAGTCTGCCCCGGCGCCACCACCATTTTTTAAATAAATACATGTGTAATTAATATACCGTAGGACTTTTCTGGTAGTAGTGTCATAAGACTGTGCCATCTTTGTTTTTCTACTTGGTATTTCAGAATCTTTTTGAGAAGATTATTTGCCTTGAAGCAGATATGTAACCCAGTTATTTAATGAGCTGATCATTCCTAATATTTTAGTTTTAAAAATATTGATCTTCACATATACACATCTGCAAGCATGATAACTGAACATAATTTTATATTATATAGAGCAAATGTCAGTAGTCACTGACACCTTACTTGGAAAATTTGGAACATAAAAATCTGTTGATGGTTTTTAAATCCTAACTCTGACGCTGACAGTAGCAAGTGCAAGCGTGCGTAGCACCTATTCTGGGCTCCTCTGGGCTGTGGGGTCTCCTGTGCAGACACTAGTAGAAACAGATGGGGATTGGAAATGGGATTATTTTTTCATTTCTCTATTCTCCATATAGAATATATAAAAAATAGCACATTAATGTTTGCATACATATAGAACAAAGTTCATATAGAAAATAGCTTGCACGTAGAAAATAACACATCAGTGTTACTACATATGGAAAATATCACATTAATTTTACTGCACTATTTCCAGTACCCCTTGGTGGAGTCTTTTGGATTCTCTATGGATATCATCACTTCATCTGCAAATAGTGATCATTTCTATTCTTTTGCAATTTGTATTCCTTTTGTGTCTTTCTCTTGCCTAGAGCTCTGGCTAGGACTGCCAATACTGTGGTGAGCAGCAGGGATGAGAGTGGACATCTTTGTCCTGTTCCTGATCTGAGGGGCTATCCTTTCAGTTTTTCACCATTCATCTGATGTTTGCTCTGGGTTGGTCAGCTATAGACTTTGCTAAGATATGCTCCTGTTATCCCCAGCGTATTGAAAGTTGTTATCATAAGTGGGTGTGGAATCTTGTGGAAAGCTTTTTCAAGTCTATTGTGATGACCATATGATTTTTATCTCTCTTTTTGTTGTGGTGGTGAATGGCATTGATTGGTGTATTTTCAAACAACTTCACATCTCAGAAGTTAAACCTGCTTAGTATGGTGGATGAGTCTCTTACTACATATGTTAAATATATATTTTTTATACAATTTAAATACATTATATTGCTGAATTTGATCTCCCAAGATTTTCTTGCATCTGTGTTCATCAGAGATGTTCCACAGTCTACCTTTCTTGCACTGCCCTTGTTTGGTTGTGAGATTAAGCTAATCTTGGCCTTATAAAATGGCATATAACTGGCATATAACTCACTCTTCAATTCTTTTAGAAGAGTTTGAGGGTTTGTATTGGGTTTTCTTTAAGAGTTTGAGAGACTTATCTAGTGAGGCCATCTCTTCTGGGCTTTTGTTCTTGAGACTTTTGATTACTCTTTGATTTCTTGGCTTGCAAGTGTTCTTTTCAAGCTGTTTTATTTCAGTTGAGTTTTTAAAGTTGTGATTCTAAACATTGGTCCAATTTGCTTACATGTACATTTTCGAATTACCTCTTAAGATATTTTGCATTATTGTTTGCCCTCTCTCCTTTCTTATTCTTTTATTTGTTTTATACTCTTGTTTTGTAGTATATCAAGAGCTTAATCATTTTACTTATACTTTCGAAGAACCAGTTCTTCATTTCATTGATCATTTTTAACATGATTTTGGTTTCTATCTCATTTAATTCTGCTCTAGTTTTTGTTATTTACTAATTTACACTGATTTTTACTTTCTTTTGATTTTCTTATCCTAGTTCCTTCAGTTGTCAAGTGAGGTTTTGTATTTGAGACTTTTTTATTTATTGATGTGGGCCTCTATTATCATGTATTTCCATCTTAAAATTATTTTTGCTATATTAGGAGGACCTATAACTTGTTTTTCTATATCCATTGATCTCAAAATAATTGTTAATTTCTTTGTTTTCATTATTGACCCAAAAATTACTCAAAAGCATTTTGTTTAACCCCTCCACGTTTGGATATTTCCATATTTCACTAAGTGGTTCTTTCCTATTGTGGTTCTTTATCCTTGTGTGATCAAAAGGATACATGATGTAAGTTTAAGTTGCATATATTTGTGAGATATGTTTTGTGTACTAACATATGATCAATCCCTGAGAATGTCCCATGTGCACTTGAGAAGCATATGTGTTCCATTTCTTTTGTAATGAAAAGTGTACATGTCTGTTATATGTATCTGATCCATTACCTTATGAAGGCTGTTGTCCCTTTGTTCATTTTCTGTCTTGGTTATGAAGTCATTGGTGTGAATTGGTAGGTTGAGATGCTCTGTATTGTTTTACTGTCAATGTGTTGTTTAGGTCTATTCATGTTGCTTTGTAAATTTGGGTGAATCTCTGGTGTACAACTACTAGTAACAGTTTTCACACAGTGATGAATTGTCCTCGTGGTCATTACATAACATTCATTGCCACTAAGATCAGGATCAAGACAGGGTGTCCACTTGTTATTAAAGGTTTGGAAGTTCTAGCTGAAATAATTAGCCAAGAAAAAGACATAAAGAAAACCATATAGGAAAGGAAGTGTAACTTTCAAAATTCAAGATGTTATGTTAATATACTCAGAGACCAAAAAAAGCTCTACAGAAGATTTTCAGGTGAATGAGTATATTAAAGTTGCAGGACACAAAACCAAAATCAATCCTATTTCAGTAAGCAAAAATTGCATCAGAAGAAAGGGAAATAAGGAAAGCAGTTGCATTTACAAAACAAATGAAATACCTGGGAATAAACATAATGAAGGAAGAAAAGGAATTGCATATTGACATGTATTTTAATCTGTTAAAGAAAATAAAAGAAGACACAAAGAAAGAAATAATCAACACTCATAGTGGGATGAATTCAGAACAGGCAAGTGTCTCAACTTCTGAATTCTCACCTGGTTGACTGGGATCTGTCCTTGGTTGCAAGTGAAAAATCAGGAGGCTGAGAGTCCCTGTGAGTTGCACACTTCCATTCAGCCTTTTTTGAGATCCTTTGAGAGGGTCATCAAGCTTCCCTGCTTGAAGGCTTTGTTTATCTGGGAACTTAACTTTCTCTGAGGAGCTGCAGGTGGCAAGTGTGCTCTGGATGCTGGTGGATACCTGTGTGGGGACTATAGGGGGCCATGTGGAGGTGCTGGTCCCTTAATGTCTCCACCCCTCTCTGCTAGTAGAATGCCGTCAGATACCCAGATTGGGTCATTGGACTACTACCTGGCAAACCTGAGCAACCTTGCTTCCTTCCACTGCCTCCCACTCTGTTCACAGTTTTCCACAGTCGTCTGGTGACTGCACAAAGTCTCACCTCTGCTCCACTGGCCAAGACAGCAAGTCTCTCCTCTGGGGCAGGTGGACATGACACGGTCCTCAGCACCTCTCATCACTCCCCCAACACCCAAGCTCATACCCTCTATCCATTTCATCAGGAGAGAAGGGACCCTGTTCAGGTGTCATCTATTTCCACAGAGATATGGGTCAGAGATGTCACATTTGCTGACACAGAGAAAACATCTCCCACATCTGTTGTGGCATGAGAAATATCAGCTTCTGCACACTCCTCCCACGCAGCAGCTGTAGTTCAACCAGAATGAAGGAGATCATGGAGGACCCATTCTCTGGCGTGTTTCTTAAGAAGTCTTCTCTTCTTGGCAAGTTCTGTCTGCTTTCCTTTGTTTATTTAGTAGGGGAATATGAAATCCTACCAGCAAATGTTGTATTTGGTGAAGACAGGTTTGGCTCCCTATGGAAAGCCTCCCCCTATGGTGGCATCCCTATTGATGTCAGCGCAGGCCCCCAGAAGAGTGAACCCTAAATCATTCCCCTCCCCAGTGACAGATGACACTACCACTTCACATGAGAAAAAAATTTCCTTTGAAAATCAATTATGTGACAGAAAAATGACATTAATATTAGAAGATGTGCTCACATGACAAAAAAAAAATCATAGTTTCTGCAGGCTGAAAAGGGAAGTGGTCCTCCAAGGAAAGGTGGGAGAGCCATGATTATGAAGGAGATAGTGCCATGAACACTGAGGGTGGTGGCCTGAGTCCCATAGGACCCTAGACCTGTCTGGAAGGTTCTGACTGGAGGTCTGGGCTGCCTCAGTGCCAAGACTCTTTCTGGTTCTTCCCATTTATTACAAATACTCTGGCCTTGAGATCTGTCTTGGTAACCATAAGGGGCTGTTACTCATAATTCTCCTTTGCTCTTGAAACAACAGAAACATGTGGTAGTGAGAATGTCCACCACCTGTGTCCTGGAGTCTCCCTTTGCCAGAATCAAGATGACCTTGGTGAAGGGCCATTTTCCCCTCTAGAATATGCCCAAGAAGCTTGATGAGTGCCTGAGCATCAATGTCCCTGTCACCCGTAAAGGAGCTGCTTCTCACTGGTCTCTGCTCTAGGCAGTAGTGGTTTGATGCTTATGATATTGCTGGGCATTTTCCGGACCTTTGTTTTGGCCAAGGAAAATCCACTGAAGAAAATTTCTTCTTTTTTTTCCTGATGTTCTTGAGTGTCTGGCCTTTCATCTGCAGGAGATGGAAGGGCTTGCTTGTTGGGGACTCTGATTCCTTACCCAGTGAAGAATGACTCATCTCACTGCTTCAGAAGGTTTCTGTCCTGCAATTTTTTTTTTCATTTTGTTGTCTGTGTTTGGACCTCTTGCAACTTTTCCCCTCATGAGTAGGGGCACATGTCTGACCTCGGCTCCTTTTCTGCTACCACAGGCACTGGGGCTCAAGCCACCCCAGCTTCTGTCTCCTTTGGATGAGAAGTCATTGATCCCCTGAGAAGCTGGCCAGTCTCCACTGGTCACTCTCTGGACATTGGTTGATCCTGGAAAAGGCCAAGGGTATTTTGCACTGAACTCATCAGCCTGGTGGACTTCAAGAAGCACGTCACAGTCTTGAAGGAGCACAGCAAGAAGGTATCCTGGAGACTGGCTCTGGGACACTGTCAGCGTCTGATGCTCAACCTTCCCAAGACAGGTTCTGAGTGTCATTCTCCTGCATCTTCTATAATAGACTGTTTGGGTGGTGTGGGGCTCTTCCTGGATCCAGGAGGCTTAAACTCTTAAGGTCATATCATACTATGAATGTGACTTCCCAGGTTATTTCTGAGGTGACTGGATTTAATGGTGACCTCCTATGCAGGGACCTCTTTGATGTCTACATCCCCCCATGCTCTCTGAGCTCTGCACATCAGTGCCCTAATTTCAGGTCCATTGTTACCATGTTCCAAGTCTCAGGGGTGCACAGTCACTGATACTCTTCTTCTTGTGCTCGCTGTCTAAGTCCAACCCCTGTGTAGGACCAGACAATGGAGGACACTCAGACACTTAGTGGTGGCCTATGAGGTCTCTGCATGCAAGCTCTCTTTGGGAGTTCTCTGTGTGAGCCTTTAGGGATCTCAGTGTTGGACTGTGTCAGAGGCACCTGCGCAGCTGAGTCAGAGATCTCTGGCAGGATTATTTTTGAGTCTGTCGGTGGTCACTGTGGGAATCTGTCATGGTGCTATTTGGGCCTCTGCCACTTTCCAGGCAATTGACTCAACATATGAGGTGTCATCTTGTCTCCAGGGAGCTACCCTTGGTGTTAAGTGAAAGCATGAGGCTGTACCTACTGTGCTCCCCTGTCCCCCTTCAGATTTTTCAGAGTTCCATTTAGAGGGACATCAAACTTCCCTGCTTTAGGGCTCTGCTTCTCTGGGAACTTGAACTATTCTGAGAGTTGTAGGAGGCAAGTCTGCTCTGGATGCTGGTGGTAGCCTGTGTGGGGGCCTCAGGGGGCCATGTGGTGTTGCTGGGCCCCCAATGTCTCCTCCCTCTCTGCCTGTAGAATGCAGTGATGTACCAGCCTCCCTCACTGCACAATCTCTGAGCAACCCAGAGCCACCTTGCTTCCATCCCCCACTTCCCACTCTGTTTGCTGTGTTCCACAGTCAGACAGGACTGCACATAGGATCATCCCTGCTCCACTGCCCAAGAAGGCCAGTCCCTCTGCTGGTATGATGACATGATCCTCAGCACCTCCCTGCAATCCCAACAGACCTTGCCTCATACCCTCAATCCTTGTCATCAGGAGAGAAGAGGCCCCGGGAAGGGGTCCACTATTCTCCCAAAGGCATGAGGGCAGAGTACGCCTACATCTGGGCTTGAGGACAGCACCCTTCACCCTAGCTCCATACAGACATCTCCCACACTTGTTGAAACCTGAGAGGAATTTGAGTTTCTACTCAATCCTCCCCGAAATAGCCCCGGTTCAGGCAGAGAAAAAGCAGGAGATGATGCCAGTCCCTCTCTTGGCCTGGGTCTTAAGAAACTTGCTCATATTGTCAACTTCTACCTGCTTACCTCAATTCTTTCAGTAGGGTGCTGTGAAATCCTAGGGTGCACCAAGGGCCCGTGGTGAGGATAGGCATGCCCCATAGCGGTCAGCCTCCCTCCACGTGCCATCCCATGAAGTCAGAGCGGGCCCTCAGAAGAGAACCTTACCACTGCCCATCCCGTAGAGAGTGGCTACCACCATATCTCAGGGGACCAAACAAGTATTTTGAGAAATATTGGCATGTAAAACAACTTTACTCTGCAGACCTGCTCACATGTGTCACCACCATTCTGTGCATGGTGCGCATCTGTCCCTGAAGGATGCTGTCCCATTGGGAAAGCTGGGAGAAGCGTGATTTTGATGGAAAGAGTGCCTTAGGGTGTGGGGGTGGTGGCTTGAGGCCCCTGGGGGCTTGTGCTGTCAGGGTCTGGGGTCTGGCTGGTATCTTGGGTCCCTGGGTGGCACCTCCCTATTTCTGCTCCACCCCACCTGTTGGGGCAGCTGTGGCCCTGAGACCTGCCTTGGTGAGCATAGGGGCTGTTGCTCATCCCTCTCCTTTGCTCTGATAGGAGAGAGCTCCGTGGCAGGACAAATGCCCACTCTCTGGAGCCTGGAGTCACTCACAGGGATTACAACCTTAGTGAAGGTCCATTTTCTTTTCTAGGGCATTAGCACCCTCATCGTCCCTCAGTGACCTATTTCTGGGTGGTCTGAGGAGCTGGGCAGTGTTGGCCACAGGCTTGTCAATTTGCTGGGTGTCTTCCAGCATTTTGTCTTTGCCAGGTTAGACCCACTACAGAAAGTTGCTCATTGTTTCCCGATGGGACTTTCTTGAGGTGCCCGTCTCTCTGCAGGAGATGGCAGGGCTTGCTTCTTGGGGTCTCTGCCCTCACCCGGAAGAGGGTATCTCATCTCTCTGGATTCAGAGCCCTCTGTCCTGCCAACTTTCGTTCTTCTTCTTGGGACCTCTTGGAGCGTTTTTGCTCATGAGTGGGTGCGTGCATCTGAACCCTGCTACTTTTCCACAGGTGCTGGGGCTTGTGCTGCCTCTGGCAACTCTCTCATTTGGATGAGACTCATCCTGCCCCCAAGATGCTGGCCAGTCTCCACTGGTTAAGGTCTGGAAAATGGCTGATTCCTGAGAAGCCAAGGTATCTGCAGCATGGAACTCATCAGCCTGGCAGTCTTGGGGATGCCTGTCAGTGGCACAGTCCTGAAGGAGCACAGCAGGGACGCAGCCTGGAGACTAGTTCTGGGACGCTGTAAACCTCTGATATTGACCCTTCCCGAACTACACCTCTAAATGTGACTTTTCCCCATCTGCTTCCATAGATTTTTGGGGTGTTGTGGGCCTCTTTCTGGATCCCTGGGTTGGATGTGGGTACTCAGGTGACTGCTGGCGTGACTTGATTTCGTGGTTCCTTACTAGCAGGGACATCTTTGATCCCTTCACATTCAAGTTGTTCTCTGACCTCTGCACATTGTGGTCCTAATGTGAGGTCCACTGTTGCCACACTCTGGTAGGAGTCTGGTGATGAGAGACCCTCACTCTCCTCCCTTGGTCACTCTTGTCCCAAGTGGCCATTACTGAACTTGGGATTGGCTCTAGGCTGCCTCCCTCAACCCCCAGGACATTCCATCTGCTCCAGAGCCTGCCCACCAAGGGGTATGTTAAGGTTGGGAATGGGCCTTCTTTCCTGTCCAGTAACAGGGGTCTATGAGATGCCGTGGTCATCACCACATGGGGTCCCTGCCTGGGCCTTCTGGGAGTCCTCATTGGCAGGAAAGGGGGCTGGGAAGGAAGGCACCTGGGTGAGGTTGGAATTGATATTTTATTATCAAGCTCTGCTCCAAATGATGTGGGGTTCTATACCAGGGCTTAATTAACTTGCCTTTGGAGCCCATCCCTGATACACAGAAGGCTAAGCTAGAAAAGAAAGACTGCAGATGGGCTGAGGCTGGAACTTTTTTCAACTTGAAGAGATTAGCAACTTCAGTATTCTGAAGGTCTAGTGCCTCCTGGGTCTCACACAAACCCTTCTTGTATGTGCTTCCTGCTCATTTCCGTGAGCCGGCTGAGCACAGACAGCTACAGGCAGGCAGTTGTGTAACTCGCTGGTGGAGGAGACTCATGTCCAGGCTCCTTGGGAGGGTGGACTGCCTGGGAAGGGAAAAGGCATGTTGGTCACCAGCCTGGAGCAATGACCATCCAGGGGGATCTGACTCTTTTGAAACTGCCAGAATTTCCTGACGAAATGGGCTCCCAGGATGATTTCTGTGTTATCTGCAGGCAACTGTTTAAGGGCCTCATTATCTTTCCTTTTAACAATGACCTTCAAGCCCGGGAGTCCCCAAAATCCTGGGAGATGTTGGGGGTTACTTTGCTGGTGGCTTCTTGCAATTATTTATGCACAGAGGATGAATTACTGCTTCCTAGCAGCTTCTGCAAGAGGTGACATTACAGGTTTTGTATTGCCATTGGCATGAAGAATCATGACCTATTCTAAGCCACAGGGCTAGATACCCTACAGCAGCCACTCTGGGGTGGTCGTGAAGTTGGTGGGAATGGAAATGAGGGTTAGAAGTGGGGCTGGGTCTCAACCTGAGCCTTATATCCCATCCATGATTGGGCTCCAGAAGGAGTTTAGTGTTGGGTTTGGGCCACAGGGGACTGAACCATGGGCTGGGCCAGAGAGTGATGTGAAGCTACTTCCACTTCATGAATTTGCCCAGGTAAGACATTAAACAGTTGTCCCAACAGGGTGGAGGGAAGTTGTTCTGGGGATCCAGAGACTATGACGAATCCATTAGGGACTCACTGTGCAGATTCATAGATCCCAATGTCTTCTGTAAGTGGCCCCCCAAAATCTCAGTACAAGGTAGCTCTAGCACCCAGCAGCTGCTCTGATCTGTCTTTCATGCTCCAGAATGGTGGGCCACCCATGATATCCTCTGTGTCATCCAGCGACTTGAGCATATTCCCCAAAGAATTTAGGTGAATGTCTGACTCTTCTGCTGCTTCTCTCTCCTTTCAGCTGTACCCTCATGTGGATTAGATGTCCAGTAGCTTCCGGTGGTCAGGGCTGATGAAAGTTGGGCTACCAGCCTCTACCTGGTGGTTTCTAGTGTTGTCCCAGAATGGGGCCCCTGGTGGGGGGCTTGGAAGTTCCCCTTTCCGGGACTCAGGATGTGACCATGCTGAGAGGCTCATGGCTTTGGCCCCTCTGGAATCCCACCAGGACATGGACGTAAAAGGACGGGTTGAGCATCCTAGGCCTGAGATGGTTAAGATGGGAGAATGTGTCCAAGGGATATGGGGAGAAGAGTATGGGGCAGTGCCCATTGGCAGGGGCAGTGCCCATTGGCAGTAACAATGAGTCACACTGAGAAAGAGTCAGGCTGGAGCCTGGAGATGGGAGGCCATCAGACATGGAGGCCAGGCCTCTAAACCAGGGGGTGCTGAGGGGCAAGGTGAAGAAGCAGGTGAATGGGGGCAAAGGCTCTCCAGGGAAAGAGGAGTGTCTGATGGCTCAGAGGCGGTCGGGTATGACTCTGCACTAACAGAAAGTAAGGAAAACATGGGTCCTGTTGAGTGGGTGGAGGCCAGAGGTAAGGAGTGCTTGGTTGGAGAAGCTGACAGGGACATGGCAGGAGTAGCAACTTCCACGCACTTCCCTGGAGGCTGGTGGGCTCTGGCAGGTGCTACTTTCCACACATTGCCCACGGGGTCATGACCTAAGGGCTGATGGCAGCTGACCTTTTTAGGGTGCATCCTCAGGTGGCTGCACAAGAAAGGAGGTCCAAGCTATGACCAAAAGCAGAGGGTTCCGGGAGTCCCAGGTAGTCCAGGCAGGTGGGCACCGGTATCGCAGTCTCCTTCCATTGCCTTTGGCTGACCTGGGCTATCAGCCTCCACCTGTCGTTTTCTAGTGTCTACTCAGAATGGTGCACCTGATGGGGGGCTGGAAAGGGGCTGTCAAAGGGACCCAGGATGTGACCATGCTGAGAAGTTCAAGGCTTTGGCAATCCTTGAATCCCAGGCAGGCAGGGACTAAAAGGACAGGTTGGGCGTCATAGGACTGCAAATATTGTTGGTTTCACTTCTTTTCTGATTTGGATTCCTTTTATGTCTATCCATTGCTTAACTGACTGCGCTGACTTGGGCTGCCAATACTTTGTTGAATATCACTGAAGAGATCCTGACATACCTGTCCTGTACTTATTCTTAGGGGAAACCTTTTAGTATTTTTAAATTTACTTATGCATACAAGATCTGGGGTGCAGGCCTACGGTGTGGTGGGTGAGATGATTCACAGGAGACAGAGTGGGGAGAAGAACAGGTAGATCTACTAAAATACACTGCTGAGCAATCAAAAAAGATAAACTCAGGCCATTTGCAGCAACATGGATGGAGCTGGAAGGGATCATGCTCAGTGAAATAAGCCAAAAAGAAAAAGAAAAATGCCAGATGGTCTCACAGCAGGAATTTAGTAAACCCAAACAAGTGATCCATAATAAGACTAATTATAATAAAGTAAAAGTCAAAATCAACAGGCAACTATAAACCAGAGGCACATTGTGGGGCGGGGGAGAAGGGAGTAGGATCAAAATAAAGATGGTGGGCATTTTACAGGAACTATAACTAAGATGAAGATGCACACATTGTACAAAAATGAAAAATGATGTAAAAATATATAAAATAAAAATAAAATGATTTTTCTAAAAAAAAATAATAAAATACACTGCTGAGGGTTGCAGCAGGCAAGATAGGAAAGGTCTGCTGCACCATGTGGGTTAATTCCCTGGCCTGGGATTGAACTCATGTTGCAGTGGCTGAGATAGCTTGATAAGCTGTGTCTTTAACCCCTGCACCACCAAGGAGGCCCCAAATCTCTCAGTTTTTTTTTTTTTTTAAGATTTATTTATTTATACAAGAGCCAGGTACAGTCCAGAGGCGTGGGAGGGTGAGAGGATTCACCAGAGACAGAGCGGGGAACAGAACAGGCAGACTGATGAAATACACTGCTGAGGGAAGCAGCAGGCAAGACAGGAGAGGCCTGCCACGGCATGTGGGACATCACCGGCCAGCCAGTAGCGAACCAGTGCTGCAGAGGCTGCAGACAGCTTCACGGTGTGGTGCCGCTCAACAGCCTGCGCCACCAGGGGTGGCCCCAAATCTTTCGGTTTTTTAACACTGAGTTGTGTGTTTCTCTATATGGCATTTATTATGATGAGCTATGTCCCCTTTCTTCACAATTTATGAGAAACTTCACTGATAAATGGGTGTGGAAATTGTGAAATGCTTTCTCCGTGTCTATTGAAATGACCATGTGAATTTTCTCCCTTGTTGATGTGGTGAATGTCATTGCTTGCATAATGTATAGGAAACAACTTTGTATCTCTGCAGTTCAATCTACTTAGTCATGATGAATGATTCAATTAATGTTTTGCTGGATTGATCCCCCAAGATTCTCTTGGGGACTTTTGTATCTATGTTCATCAGATATATTGACCAATGTTTTCCATTTGTACTGTCATTGTTTGGTTTTGAGACCAAGCTAATGTTGGCCTTATAAAATGTGATACGGAACTTTCCTTACTATTCAATGATTTTTTGAAGGGTTGAGGTTAGATCTTCTTTAAAGTATGAAATGTTTGCATTTGGGGATTAAAAAAAAATCAGTGGACCTTGAGGGGATTATGTTGAGTAAAACAAGTTAAACAGGGAAAGGCAGATATCAAATACTTTCACTTATCTGTGGAATATAAATACACAAAACACTTGTTTTGTATTGAAGTGTTGGAACAAATCTTGAACTTATCAAGATGAAGCTAATGGTTACCTGAGTGAGCAGGGGAGAGAGAGGAGGGTATGGGAGAATTGGAGAGGTAAGGTGTGGGCATGTGTGAATTGAAGGGGTGGGGGAATCTGGAAATGAACATGACAACAACAGAGATGAAAAACTGGTTGGAGGGGTTCAACAGCACATTGAGATGCAGAAAAAAGAATCATCAGATTTGAAGGTGGAGTAATAGAAATTAAGCATTCTGAAGAACAAAGAGAAAAGAGTTTGAAGAAAACTGTCCTGTGAGACATCCTTAGGCACACCACGCATGTGAATGAGAGTGCTAGAAAGAAAGGAAGGAAAAGGAAGAATAAAACATGTAGAATTACTGGTTGGAAATTTAACAAATGTGATGAAAATGATTAATCCACAGACAATGTTTACCTCTAGCAAGATAAAAACAAAGAAATCCACCTTTTGTCTCATAGTCAAACTATGGGAAAACAAAGGGTTAATTTTTAAATAGCAAGAGTAAAACAGTTCTTCATATCCAGAGGGTCCACAATAAGAATGATCAAACTTCTAATCAGGAATTTGGTGGGAAGGATGAGATATATAAAATTGAAAAAAAAAAAAAAATTGAGGGATAGAATCATGCCCTCAGGGAGAAGGGGGAGGGGAAGGGGGTAAAACACGGAAGCAAGTAGAACTCAGACCCATATGTCAAAAAGAAATGTTGGGATTATTTTGTGTGTGTTCAGGAGCTTGTAACAGTACTGAACTGACTCATCTTAGAATCATAAAACGTAGGTGTCTTGAAACCTTTAAAAATATCCCTCACAAAAGAAGTTACAGCAGTAGCTGAATGAGCAGAATTATTTTTTTTTTTTTTCAAAAAAAAAAAAAAAAGCTGCTTGCAGTCCTACTTACAAGAGTAACTGCAGGAGGCCTTTTGAACTGAAATGCCTGATTCTTATTTGAAAATTCAGGATGTTTTAGAGGACTGTGTGTGTGTGTGTGTGTGTGTGCGCATGTGCATATGTCTATGAGTACAGAGTGTTGCAAATATTTTCAGCTTAATTTTTATTAATTTCAGAAGCAAAAATTCTAGAAACTTATGAATATATAAAAAGAGAGAGAGCAACAGAAGGTTTGAATATTTCAATTTTTTATGTCTTTAGCTTTCTAAGTTTTGGGCAATTATTCAATTATTCTCTAGTTAAAGAGTGGAGATTCACTACAATAAAACTTTGAATTTTTTTTCCTCAAAATTCACAAATATATTTATTTATATTCTGTGTTTGCGTCGATGAAAGGACATTATGAGGGACAATGAAACGCATTATGGGGGAAAGTTGACCTTTAAGACAAACAGTTTCCTGAGAGTATAGTCCCTGAGACATAAGTAAAACTTCCAGGAACAACCCCAGATTTTCCAATGATATGAAATTGCTGAAGCTCAAGCAGTGATGGCAAAGGATCCAGGAACAACTGAGCTCCAGGTGGAATTACTAGTGAGGTGACCACGGACTCTCAACAGGGTGAGGGGCGGCACTGAAGGGTCAGCAGAGGGTGGAGCAAACTAAGGGAGGGGCTGGGATTTCGCCTCCTCCTCTGACTCTCAGCCCTTTGTCCTCAGGAGCCTTTGTGACAAGGTCCCAGCTCTATGATGAGGGCCTGGGTTTAGGCCCCAAGTGCACCCCCAGGGCTCAGTTGCTCAAGAGCAGCTGTGCAATTCAGACCATGGAGAATTATCTCTTGTCTCTGAAGAGCGCTGTGGCTTGTGGGCTGAGCTCCAGCTGCAGTGGCTGGGTGACGGATCCCATCTTGGCCTTTCTGTGTGGGCTGTGGCTCTCCTTGCTGCTAGTTCTCTGCCTCCAGAGTACTCCATCCTTACCACCACATTGGAGGAACAAAAACTTCAGGAAGGTAAGAAGCCCTTGGGCCTGACCCAGTGCCACAGGATTCTCTCTTCTGTCCACAGTCATGTGAGAGACTCCTGGGAAGGGAAAGAACAGATCATCTTTTCTCAGGAAAGAACAGATCCTCATCATGCTGGTGACAAGCCAGGCCAGCAGGGGTGTGAGTGGGCACTAGAATTTCTATCTGAAGATCTCAGACCAAGGGTCTCGGTCAGTAGAGGCTCCAGGGCAAAGTCCCAACTGGCGCCCAGGGACAGGGTGCCTCAGTGGGGTGACCTCTGACGGAGGCTAGGCTCCTGAGCACTGTCCCCCAGGTGCCTTGTTGTGGCCGGTGTGTGGGGCCAGCTTCTCCTCAGCTGAGGTTCATGGAGGGGCCTTGCAGAGACCCTGGAGCCTTTGAGCAGGACAGAGTAGAGTGCTGGTCCCAGGATGCAGGTCCTATCTGACCTGATGGAACTCAGCACCCAGAGGTCCGAGGATTTGTGTTTCTTGGATAGAGCGGGAGAGACCTTGATGGGTCTGACACAGAAGATCCTTTTTGTGATCTTCCATGAAAGAACACTTTAGAAATGAGGAGAGGGAGAATAAATGTGGAAAGTCATGTTCATGTGCACCGGCTGTCTGCAGCTAGAGAGGACAGTGAGAAATGGATCCCATCTCTCTTTTTTTCTAATTTCTCAGCATCAAAAGGAGCTGAAAGGGAGGGATAGAAGCTGAAAGAAACATTGAGTTTTGAAAGGTGAGTGGCTGTAGGTCAGCCTGGCTGAGTGTCACCCCATTTCTCCTGACTCCGAGTCCCTGCTCCCAGTTCCAAGGATGCCAGGGCTCATCCCTCAGGCACAGAACCATGGGGGAGGCTCCTGGGATGAGATGGAGCCCTGACACCTCCCAGATTCCAGGCCCAGAGACAGGCTAGGAAATGTGTGCTGCGGGCAGGGATGGACGGCAGGAGTGGACCACCAGTGGGTGGCCAGGGACGTGGGTCCTCCAGGTCCAGCTGGAGACAAGTAGTTTAACCTGCTCAGATTCCTCTAGGAGCCCTCAGGGTTGAAATGGCCTTGTAAATGACAGGGCGCCCCAACCTGAGACTTGCCTTGAGTGTCAGGCATCAGGTGGCCTTGGACTCTAGACTCAAAGCCCCCAAAGGTCTCCTAGTGGGACAGGTCCTCAGCTTCCTGTCAGGTCTCTGGGTTCCTGCCTTCACCATGGGACCTGGTGTCCTGATTTCCAGCTTGCCAAGATTTCCTACAAGTACTGGAAGAGGCTCAAGAGACTATTTTACTTCTGCAATGGTAAAGAATCTTTGCTTCTCTCCTGCTATCATCCAGAGGCCTGGGTGGGATCTCAGGGGAGCAGCCTTCTGGGTTTAAGCTGGGACAGTGAAATCTGGGGAGAGAGTATGGTTAAAACCCAGGGGTGCCAGAGTAGTTGCATTGTGAGGTCAGCCAGGGGCTGTAGAGGGAGTCTCGGATGGGGCTGCCTACCCTGCCTGGCCTGCCTGGGCCTCCCGGTCCCTCTGCTCTTGGCCATAGCTAGTGCCTTCTGTTTTGTGCAGCCACCTCAGGATTCATCCTGAAAATGGCGGCTGCCATCACCCCTTATGTTAAGACCCCCCTGGCGATGTGTGGAATGCAGGACCTGCCAGAACTCACCAACCTCCAAGGAAGTGTGTGGAAGATGTTACTCCTGCTGTTTCCCTGTCAGCTTCTCCAACCAAGCACTCCTTACCTCTGGCCTCCACCCACTCACCAGGACCCATGTTTTCATCAGTCTCTGATAGTTCAGAGTCATACCTCACTGCCCCTGAGCCATCAGACACTCCCCTTACCCTGGAGAGCCTTTGGCCCCATCCACCTGCTTCTTCACCTCACTCCTCAGTGTCCCCTGGTTCAGAGGCTTGGCCTCCATCTCTGATGGCCTCTGCTGGCCGCCCATCTCCAGACTCCAGCCTGACT